TTTGTATATGACATTTTTTTCAAAAATGCTTTGTTTTCGAAAAATTTGACTGGTCCGGGACTTTTTCCCCATCCTGTATGTATATTTATGTAATAAATGAATAATATCAAAAATATATTACTTATATCATAATTTGACTTTTGTCCATAAGAACTGAAAATAATTTAACGTTATTCTTCCTATGTATTTCAACTTTATGATACTTTCTTGGGAAAATATTACAACTTACATATTAATATATTGTGTTGTTTAAATATTTATTCTTTTCTTTTTCCATGCGGGGAGACTGGATAATAAGTTACAGTGGCTAATTAATAAACGAAAAAAAGCCCAAATAAAGAACATACAACCGATCAAATTTTATACAAGTAGCAAGCTTGTACGTTCTCTTGTCGAATCGACGGATTTAACCACAGAACCAACAGATTCAACTAACAAAGGATTTACGGTCTCTTTCAATCCACCCACTAATGACTTAGTTGCTACAGAAGTTCTCATCGAACCGGATTCCTTCCCAGAACCCACCACACATTGCACGTTAAACAACAAATGGCTTTTAAATTTTTCATCCACACCAATTCCTCCACAGGTACAATGCTTGTTACAATTAGGTGAACGGTATTGCTTCCCTGTGACTGATAACAACACAATTATCCCTGAACTAATTAAATTTATTGAAAACAGCATCAATAAACTCCCTACTGATAAACGGGAACTTATCAGAAGCCGATCGTTCCCTATTATCAACAATGTGGCATCGCATCCTTACCATCCCTCAAAAAATGACCGTTTCCTACTTGACGCGGTAAAAAAGACAAGAGACTTTCTCCATGATAATCCTAATATTATTGTAACTAAAGCAGACAAGGGCCATACCACGGTTATCATGGAGAAGGAAACGTATCTAAATAAGATGCTAACTCTGTTGAACGATAGAGACACTTATAACGTGGTCAAGAAAGATCCTACAAAAAAACTTATTGGCGGTCTCCACGTGTTGCTTGCTAGATGGAAACAATTGAAATATATTGATGAGACGACCTATAGGAGATGTAACTCCACCGATGGTGCCCTACCGAGAGCCTATGGACTGCCGAAAATACATAAATCAGGTTGCCCGCTCCGGATTATTGTTTCGTCGGTCAATACTCCGCTTCATGCATTTTCCACTCTTTTGCACAAAATTATTTATTCCGCAGTTCCCAAACCTAATAGTCATATCTTAAATAGTTTCGAATTAGTTAACAAATTAAATGGACTCCATATAGACGAAGATTTTGATATCATTTCATTGGATGTTATATCCCTTTTCACGAACGTGCCGATTGAGTTAGCTGAAGAAAATATAATGAAACGATGGCACTACATAAGAGACAAATGTTCAATTCCTTGCGATGAGTTTCTGCTGGCTATTCGGTTCGTCTTGAATTCCACATATTTTTCTTTTAACAACACATTCTATCAACAAACCTTCGGCACTCCTATGGGCTCTCCACTATCCCCGATTATTGCTGACATAACAATGCAGGACCTGGAAATTAGAGCACTTGAGATACTGCCATTTGTTCCTCCATTTTTTGTCAGATACGTGGATGACATCGCGATGTCGGTTCCCTCTTCGTTAAAAGCCGCCACTCTTAGCACGTTCAATTCGCTCCATAAGAGACTACAGTTTACAATAGAAGAGGGAGACGACAAACGCTTGAATTTCCTCGATACCACAATATGCGTTATAGATGAATGTATCGAATTTGATTGGTACCATAAACCGACTTTCTCCGGCAGGTATCTTAACTTTTCGTCGTCTCATCCCGCTTGTCACAAACTGGGCACCATCAAATGCTTAACCGACCGTGCATTATTGTTATCTCATCCAAGATGTCATCAAAAGAACCTCAGATTCGTGGTAGACGTTTTATTAGAAAATGGATATCCGCTCCCTCTCATTTTCCAAACAATAAGAGGGAGATTAAAAACAATATGTAAAAATCAAAAGTCTGGCTCCACTAATACTATTAACACACACACTAGTGACACTCAAAACGCAAAACGATTTTTCAATATCCCTTATATTCCAAATGTTTCCGAAAAATTCAGACACGTAGTTCAGGACCTCAACCTGAACCTATCATACACTGGTCTCCATAAACTTAGATGTTTCATCAAAGTACATAAAGATCCGCTCCCAACGCTGTCACGTAGTAATGTAGTGTACAAAATTTCTTGCAAAGATTGCAACGCTTCTTATGTGGGCCAAACAGGTAGACTTTTATCTACAAGAATCAATGAGCACCGTAAACATATAAATAGGAACACCAAACAACTATCAGTTATCACAGAACATAGACATTCTGGCCACGAATTTGATTGGGGTGGGGTTGACATCTTGGATGAAGAACCATTTCTCTATAGACGTCTCATCTCGGAAATGATCTTCATTAAGCGCCAAACGAATAGTCTCAACGCACAGAACGACACGGAGCTCCTGGGTGACTTATACAATCTAATCATCCAGGAGCTTAGCCAAGTTTAAAATCGTTTTATTAATTATTCATTTTCTTATTTATTTATTTATTTATTTATTTATTTATTCATTTATTGTTTTGGTTTTATCAACTCCGGACTTGTTTTAAGTCCGTTTTAATTTTTGACTATTTACCCGTTTTCGTGAATTTTTTACTTTTTTTATTTATTTTTACTTTTTAATTTTACTGTCTTAATTCTGGACCATAGTCTTTCTATTTAGTTGTTCGGTTTCTCAGATCGTTCCTGGCATTTTATAACTTCCTAGACGACAACCCTTTACATTGGATTTTTTTTAGAATTGTGAACTTGTGTAGTTTCGTTTCGTGCAGTTGAGACTCTAGTTATTTTAGGTTACATGATACAATCACCGAAGTACCATAAGTTTTTAACTGTTATACGTAAGAACTTTAATTTGTATTATGCGCCTTGAATGTCTACGTCGGTTGAGTTGACACACTGGCTTAAGTTTTTATCCGGTCATGTTTACCACCCTTTATTATTAAATTTTGACTCGTTCCGATAACGCTGTGTCACAGTCAGTCTAACAGCGCCGTCACGGACTCATCCCTTGTCGAGTTAATCAGTCCTCTTTATGTCAGGCATCATCTAGAGATTTACCGATTGACAAAATTAGAGGATTGCCGTCGATGCGGTGCCGATCTATATTTTCGATTAGGAGGTACATGTTTTGAATACGTTGCGTCCAGCTATAGATATATATATATATATATATAGAGTACAATTTTGTGTATACTTACATTTCTTTGTAGTTACTGAAGAAGACCCGAAGAAGGGTCGAAACGTATATATTAAATAGAAATTGAAGAATTATATTGTGAGAACTGAGATCCGTTCATTTTGTGGCTCACATTGGCATTTTCTCCTTCCTATATAATTTTCTTTTCTGGAGCCTTCACAACAATACAGAATATA